ATAACTGCAAACCGTCCTCTGATGCATATAATCCATCACTGTCAGAAAAAGGCAAAAGAGTGAAGGGCGTTTTTTTTTGTTTTCCATCTGACCATCTGAGTGATATGTTGAAACTCCTCCTTGACAATAATGGAGAACACACTAATGAGCCCTTAAGACAACTGCTTTCTCTTTCAATTAAGCGTAATAACATCTCCATAAATCTAAAAATGTTTCAGAAAACGCTGAATTTTTCATCCAACACGTTTTGTCTCTTCATAACTAGTCCACCTCTTACCACCAGCACCCAAATACACCCTGTTTCACATTTTGTATTTCTTTCTTCCCCACTATGTTTGGCCTGCCAAAACTATTATTTCAAATAAACATAAAGAGCTGAAAGTGGAGAAAGATTAAACTAATAACTATTTAGTTTAATACCACTAATAATAATCCCATCTGTCTCTTCAGCTTGGGTTAGCTCAGCTCAGTCTGAGTCTCGGGGGATGGATTCAGACACAGCTTTAGTCTCGTGATCACATTTTAGTTGCCAGGTAACTACTGATGAATCCAGAAAGAAATGGCATGAGCCAAGAAACAGTGCGGCTTCTAATTCTCACATGTGCTTCAACACTTTTTTAGGTTTTAACACATTTTTTATGTTTACTTTAAAGAATAATTAGACATTGCAGTCTCTGTTAGCAAGATGTTTGTGTACCCACAATAAAAACAATAAAACACCAATAACTTGAATGCAGAACCAAGCAACCTTGAGTCGATACAGGAAGTTTCTTTCATATTCTTGGATGTAGTAAGTAAATGTTCTTATCCAAATAAGATCAAAGTGTAATTTGAGATGATATTTTATTCATTCAAAGAAGGAAATTAAGCGAACAAGTAAACAACATAATCGTATTAATGAATCTGTGTGACTCTAAATCCCAGACAGGAGGAATAAAAAGCCTCGAGGGAAGACCCTGACTCAGACAGATGTATTTGCGGTACTCACTATCCTAGATAATTTTTTTTTTCCCCCAGCACACACTGTAGTAAATTGCTAAACTCTTATTTATGTCACTCCTCCTCACCTTTGCTTGTTTACTGATAAAACAGAGACAGCTCAGCTCCATGTCAGTGTGCAATAAAGTATCATGCACATGATATAAGATTAAAAGAGCGATGACAAAGCTGTGTCACAGTCCTCTTGAGAAAAGGACCCAAACACTGAACTAATTAAGGGCCTTCAAGGGCTGGAAATTGAAGTCATAAAACTTTTAAATGAACAATAAACACATTAAACAATTGTCATTAGGAAGTTGAGTTCAGATGTGTGGGAAAAGAGGAAAACAAATGAAAGAAAGACGATTGATAAACTTCACTTAACCAAACTATTGTGGCCGTAAACACACAAGATTTGATCGTTCACACACAACCAGAACCATCTATTTACACACAGTGTAAAAAGACATTCTTCGCATCAAACCGTACGTTTTCCTATTTCAGGTCAGTTAGGTTTGGCAAAGTTATTTGTGTTGGCTCAATCCCAGAAAAATGTATTCTCTGGGAAAAACTGGATGATGTTGTCTTGGCTTTGTAAGGTTTGGTTATTATAATTTGAGTGAAATGGAGGCACATATACAGCTAACACACTCCTTGTGACCAGGTTACAGTAATTCTGTAAGGCGACATGAGCCAAACTTTCTGCAAACTACTGCATGAGTAAATGGGGAAGAACACCCAACACTTTTGTGTCGAAACATTCAGGTTAAAAGTAGACTTATATATAAACCAAAGAAAATGTATAAAACCATTTGACAGAAAAAGATTCTGCCACGTAACGTGCAGGCCCTTAGCTCATAAAGTGAAATTTAAGTTACAGAAAAATGAAAACGATATTAGAAATCCAAACAAATACAAAACAGGAATAATGTTCTCCTCAGTCTTAGGGATGTTGATTAATAACCACCATAATGAAAGTTTTTCTAACAACAAATCACACGCTGTGAGTATTGACTTGGCTGTGAAACAATAGAACCATTGTAGACGTATGCAAAAAAATATATATATAATTATGCTTTTTAACCTTTAATTACTGCACGCGTGCAATCAAAAGATCATTGTCTCATAATAAATGCCTTCAAATGTATATTGTTGTTATTACATGATCATTGTCTGGACCATTTATGAGAGCCCCGGCTTGCAGAAGTCAGCTTAGAAAAACAAATGTCTAACACACGTGCTTAAGCAGTCTGGAGGAACATTAGTTTAAGCAAATCACGATGCAGAGCATGGCCACCCACAGTTGGCAGGTGGGTTGGTGCAATGTTGCCAGCTTTTAAAATTGTCCAGCCGGTGTATTAGTCACCTGCCAGTCATCACTGGGTCCAGGCCAGAAGCTTGCCTGTCAGGGCTGAACATGAGTCTTCAGGGTAACAGTCATGAACACAAGAAGGAATATTAAGACTCCTTTAAAGGCAGCAATAAAGCCCGAGATGATTTTTACGAAGACAAAGAGAAGATTTTCCAACATCTTTAACAGGGTGACCAGTGTTTGTGCACCCTTCAGTGGTGGGACTCTGCTTTTGATCTGTAGGAGCAGGAATGATTTTGATGTCTTCATTTGGTTTGAGGTTGCATTAAGGCGGTGTGAGCTGGGGGAAGGGAATAAATACACACACACACACACACACACACACACACACACACACACACACACACACATGCACACAAGCAAACACATACAGGAAGAAAAAGGATGCAGAAAAAGCAGCAGGGATGCAAGGTGATAAAACTTAAGGGAGTAAGACAAGCTGTTTCCTGCATGGTGGGGGAGGGGTGTAAGATCATGTGTGTTACACTGGAGGAATAAAATGAGATTATTTGTGGCACTAAAGGAGCATGAAACAGGATTGGATTGGGGTTTGTAGAGTGTGGGCTACTCAAGTCATGATCTCAGCTTAAAAAAAAAAAAAAAGAAACAAAAAAAAAACCCTCAATCAAAGCTAAATCTTTTTGTGAGCAAAAGAAGAATGATTTATGATACAGTATACTACATGTGAATGTAAAACAGATCTGAATGGGTCATTAATTATGCATTTGTTTTCAAGAGCCTTCTACAAAGTGCTAAATAAATGTCCCTGTTATCGGACGTGTTATCTTGATTTTTTTTTTAAACAAAATTTCCAACCTTTTTAATTTCTGTGTTCCAGTCTTTGTTGTATTTCTTCCCAAAGCATGTTTGTGGCGAAATGCTTTTTATGCATGTCGTTAAGATCAATACAGACACTTTTTTCTACAGCATAAAGACATCCAGATGTGAGAAGTACAATGTTGACTGATGTGTCTACCGATGCTACCCCAAACCTGTACAGATGGCAAATCCAGGTGGTCATAAAATAACCCGGAAAAATATCAAAAGTACTCATTTGAATCAGTCAAGGTTGGTGGTCATGATTTAAAAATAGCAAAGAGGCTGCTCTAACATTTACCTAAAAGTTTTCTCTCTGTCCTGAAGAAACAAAAATGACATTTTTACATTACAGTTGATCTAACAAAATAACATTTCAGTAAAAGATCATATGAAGAGTCAAATGAGATGTTTATAGAGTGATGTAAGAGGCTTTTTTTGCAATTTCGAACCTGGACGACTTGATCTTGATAATGCTGGCTGTTAATCGACAACATCAAAATAGTCATCAGCTGCAGGAAATCTACAAACACACTAATTGAAATATGTATCTGCCAAAAAGGTTGCCATTTGTCAAAAACAACTCCAACTATTTTGAGCTATTGACTCAGAAGGGTTGTAAACTACTGCTTTTCTAACTTCCTGTAGCAGCTAGCTGTACTGCACAGCTCAACAAGTAAATATCTGGTTACAGCTAGGTTTCTTTGATTTCTGTCATCTGTAATACTGCTTCAGCAAACATAATTCATTTTTTTGTGTAAAGTTGCTTTTTGTTGCATCATCTAGCTGCAGCAGCCTCCACCTTGTAGTTGATTTGAAACAGATACTTTTATTGGATTTAAGTCTCTCAGTTTTATGTGTTCCACAACAGTTCTAGTGAAAACAGTTCTAAGCCGACCCAGTTGCTGAATATTTTACTTTCAAGAAGTCAAACTTTCTGCTAATCTTTCAAAACTGTCAGTCAAAATGTTTCCCTATTTTTCTTGAAGTATTTCAAAGGCTCTCTGTGCTCCAGTCCTCAAAGCTGGAGTAATTTAGAAAGCTTTTTGTTAAGCCTTTGAGCGCTGACCTTTGAGTCGTGGATTGAAATTTAGTTTTGAAGCATTTTATCAACCTGTCATTTTGTAATAAGCTGAGAGAGATCTGTGGACCTGAAACTATGAAAACTTCTTTAAAAATTGATCGCAGGACCCAACCTTCATTTAACTTTAGAAGTTAAAGCTCTAGTCTGTGTCCATCTGAACAGTTGCTAAGTCATAAACGCAACCATCAACAAGGCTAAGAAGACACATGCATCCACAGCACCAGATTTATTTCAGTGTCAACAACATGTCATCTGCTGTTTTCCAGCGAGAAGAAAAAGTTTCATCTGTTTCACAGCTTTTGGTAAACTCAGAATCAGCAATATGGACTCCCACTAGCCAAACCTCACACTTATTTCAGCATTCTGCTTCTTCTGACTTTTCCTGTCAATTCTGATCTCATCTACACTGTGGTGTTTTGTTTTTTATTTTTGCTCTAGTGGCCTTTATTTGATAGTTAATTGACAGGAAAGTGGGTAATGAGAGAAGGGAGTATACATGCAGCAAAGGTCGCCAAGGCCAGGAATCGAACCTGTGACAGCTGCGTTGATGACTAAGGTCTCCATATGTGGGTTGTGCTTAACCCCTGTACCACCACAGCACACCCCATATGTTGTGGTGTTTTGTAGGCTAAAGCCAGGGACACCACGACCCCACCATCACGCTAAAAGACTTTATTTCACTCCAATGTTGTTGGTTTGTTCGGAGCTGTGAGATCAGCAGCCGAGTGTGGGCGTTCAGAGGACACTCACCACAAGAGAGAGCGGCCTCTTCCATGACACCACTCCGATGAGTCCAGAGAGCAAAACCTGAGGGAAAAAAACAAAACAAAACAGATGCTGTCAGGAAACGTCACTGACACTAGCACGAAAATGCAACAAATTGTTTGTTATCAGTTCCTCTGTCTTGGCCATTATTTCTGCAGGAGCTTGAATATTTTTGAGCCACGAGTTCACTTTGTTGGAGGACAACAACTGAAGCAATTAATTGCATTTATTCAATTTTCAAAAACTAATTTAAAAACATCAACTGTTTATAGAGACTGTTTGTAGGTTTGTTGAATTTGTCTTCCTGAAACCTGTTTGTTCATCTGTTATTACTTCTGTATAGGTATTTCATCAACAGGGGTGTTTAAAAGAGGCACTGCACGAAATGTAATGCAAATGTCTAAACAATCACTTGTTGAAAACAAGTGGCATCAACTATCATGACGATGATGCCACAACTTGTCCAGTGACTCACCAATAAACTATTGACATTAAACTGTTCCTTTCATAGTCTGATAAAAGAACTTCCTGAACAAAAATGATGTGAATAGGTAAGCCAAATCTCTTAAAACAATGACACATAAAGGACAAATTCTGATGCTGATGAAAACCTGCAATCAGTGGGGATGAAATGTAACAACATGTACTTCCTAATATAACAAAATGGGCTTTTAGCAGGAACATTTTCAGTCTGCTGAAGAGGAAAAGGGAGTCAGGAGTGAGGAGAACCCTGGAGAAATGCTGCAGCTAAGCCATCGATGACACTCTATATATCTATATTAACAATACCAGTGCATAAACTAAAAAAAAATCACAACACACCAGACCGGTTAAACAAAAATCAACTGTACTTTATTGATAATTGATTCAGGCTCTGTACTTTTCTTAAACCTGACATATCAGACCATGGCGTGCTAATTCACAAATGCACAAAATAATTTATTTCTGCTCATGTCCATCATATTTTTAACCAATCTTTTATCTGAAATGTGTGATTTTTTTCTGAGGATCACATACTATTTTTCTTTCAGTTGCGGTGGAATTAGCCTTGCCCTGTACAATGTGCTGCTTACCAAGTAATAATGCAGAAGACGTGATGCCTCTGAAGAATAATAAATGTAGCCTGTAGCTTATTACGAGTGATTTACCACCCACACATCCCAGTACAGTGCCATTTCATTAGGCTGCTTCCGGTAATTGAAATGGGCTGGAAAGGCTGTTAGCACTCAACAGTTTGTTGAGCCACATCTTTAAGATGTCCTGGTTTTAATTTAAATGTGTTTTTATTTGCTGACAGGGGTGATGTAGTGCAAATTAAACCACAGATTTCTCCGAGCGTAGTCGGCGAGGAAGAGGAGGATTTAACCCATCTATTTTTAGAAAAGTTAAATGACATCGAGATGAGACGGAGTTAGATCCGACATAGTTCAACAAAACAATTATTATTGATAAAATAATCTAAAATATTGATGCAATTGAAAATTTTATCTGCATAATCACGGTAGCTGTCTATTTATCTAAAAAAAAAGACTGACATGTTGAATAAAAATTCCCTAAATGACTTCATTTCATGGCTTGAGATTGGGAAATATTTTCAATTTTACTGAATTGATTGTTTTCCTTGTAAGAGTTGTGTGAATAGATAATTGTTTTATAAGCCATAAAGGACAATGTATAAAAAAAAGACCTAAACTTAACCCCTAACCCAAAATACTAAAATAAATACACACACCTAAGCATTTTATGGCATTAGGTTGTGCTTGTAACGTCTTCCAATGGTTCAGGTTATTTTCTAACAGAGAAATCTCCAAGAAAACCAAAATCTGTCACCACAAACCACACAGGAACGTACAGCCTGTCTTTAGGCACGAGTACAAAATGTTAAAGCAGGAAGCAGATGCTTTTGTTCTGGGTGCTACTGGGTGGTCAAAATAATGTGAGTACACCAATCACATTATTTGTCTGGGTTGCGTAAAGAAACGTCTCTGGAAAGATGCTGTGCATGCGCATTCATAAATGTGACAGCGCCTCTGATTTGTGGAGGTGACAAATAGAACAGTGTTTTGCAGATCCTTCCAAAACATTTCAGAGGAGCTGAAAACAAACTGGCCGAATAAAAAAGCAATGATGTCTGCTGCACTGCTACCAAATGTACCTTTTCACCTGTGATACTTTCACGCTGTGAGGTGAGTTGTCCTCTAAACTGCATTGAAGTACATCAGTAATTCAGCATGTTGTTTTGTGTCCAAATGACTTCATCAGACTGATTGCTGCTGCAGGTTTCCCCATTAGCCCCAACATGCTTGCAGATTTTGCGCTCCATCCACCTGGAACCTGTCCGCCCGAAGCTTCAGGTGTTTTTACTGAAATAATTGTGTGGAGACGTCTGTTTCTGTATCTTCTACTCACTACTTCCATCTGTTTGACTCAAGGTGTCACATTCAAGGCCGATGATGGTGCTTCAGCTTCTCAGATGAGATGCTTCATTACATCAAATATTTTCTGAGAAATTCCTCGTGTTACTTCTCTGTCTACATTTCGAGCCGAGGTGTAGACTTGAATTTTTACAGCCTGCTCAACTGGAGGTGTGAATTTGCGTATCATCAAAATGTAGGTGAACAAAGGGTAGCCGTAGCCCAAGGCACTTGTTTCTCTGTGGTCTCCCTCTGCCTTTCACCCTCCTTCACCCTCCATTAAACATCACCACACTCTGCCCATTTCTATCCATCATGCACTGCTTCTTTCTCCTCTCCACTTGCACTCTTTAGTTCTACCTTCTCTCCTCGAATCTCGCAGCCTTTGCCGTTCCAATTTCTTCCTGCATCGCGGCCCATCTGTGTGTCTCTTCTTCTGCTCGGCACTCACACTGCTGGCACTTACGCTCTCCCTCCCACTTTGGTCTATACCCAGACTCCTTATTTCACTTTTCCATTCCATCTTGTTCCATTTTTCAGACAATCTCTCACTACTTTATTCACCTTGATACTCACAAGACATGGCAAATGGGCTGCCAATGTTATCATCTGAGGCTCAGATAAGGTTAGATAGCAGCAGAGATGTTCAATCCAGAAAAGTCTGCTTCATTGTAAGCTGGGTTTTAAACTACTTCCAGAAACACAGGAACCTAATAGTGTTGTTTCCCCTATAAGCAACCAAAGTGATTTCAATGTTGACCTACTTTTATTACATTCCTACATATGTTTGGCTGAATACAGACCCAGATTAGATTGATTCTCACCCAAATTTAGCAGTTTTAAAAGTTATTTCAATATCTTTTCATTCCAAAAATGCTTTTTGGCATGTTTATTCTGATAGTTCCCCATTACTGTAAAAATAAATGTCAGGTTCATTCAAAACAATGTTAAGCCATTTACACACCAATGTCATTGAAATATATTAAATATTTTTTTTTAAGCAGCAAACAACTTACAGAAATATACCCTAAAATAAACATTGTCTTCACATTGAGCAAGTCTAGTTATGCAAAAACTGAAGTTTTTAAAAGGTTATTGGATTAATATTTTAATATAATTATATAGGATTTTTTTTTTTCATTTAGAGAATATTAAAAAAATCTAAATTGAGTATTTCTGGCAGCGTTCTCCGGCTGTTTGGATGAACTCCTTGTTGTCACTCTCATGTGTTTACAGCTGCGGTCAAGCCTACAGCGATGCTCGCATGTCTGTAAATCCCAGTGTCCACTGGGAACAATTATTTTGCTGCTGTCCGGCACGGTAAACGCTCAGAGACAGTCAGCAGTTGCTCCAGCTGGTGAACCTCTGACTGCTGTCTCTTCATTATTTCACTGCTTTTATAAGTGAGTTTTATTCGCTGTCTGTTTTGATCCTAAAATAATGCTTCTGGGCTGGGACTTCTGAGGCTCTTTTTGGGTTATTGTGGTTTCCTTTTCTTAATATCAAAGACAATTTCATATAGTATAAATATAGGAATCAGCAGGAATAATCAAAGTAAAAAAAAAAAAAAAAAGAAGAAGAAGAGACAGGAGAGTATCTGAGCTGTGTGAAGCAAAAACAACCAAAGAACAGCTTTGTCTTCCATAACTGTGTTGTTATGCCCTGGTCTGCTGGGATAAAGTCAAATAGGAGGCAGAAGCATGTGTTACAGCAGGTATCTACCAAACATTTCGATCATCTGAGGAACTATAAGGAGGTCAGAAAGGTTGTATTATATTTGGGTTCTATATTCTGAAGCCTGGTAGCAGCAGTGTTGGTGTATCTGCGAGTCGTGGCCCACGTGCACCTATGTGGCTTGATCAAAAGAGAATTTAAAGGAGAAATGAGCGAACTGGTCAACCTCACGACACTTACTGCACTTAAGCAGTCTTACTGCTTTGAACGCGGCCTCCTGAACAACAAAAGGATCTCATCAGGCAGCTTAAGCAAATGGTCTACGCCTTTAGGACAATAAAACAAAAAGAGTAAGGAAGAAGAAAATAGTCATGTTGTTTGCAAGCAGAGAATCGGTATGCGTTGACTGCCACTGTAGAGTGGGGTTCTCAGCAAATTGCCTGGTTAGCATTCAGTGAAGTTCTGTAATTCTTGAGTACTGAAGCAGAGATCCAGCTAAAAGTAGCAGGGCAGCGGTTCTTGAGGGGCAGGTGTATAAAGCCTCCTCTCCTTTGGAGTCTCAGTGTGATCAAACAAAGATTTTGGATATTTGTGCATGATTTTATTTTTATTTTTTTTGTGAGTGCCATCACAGAAATATGAGCACATTGCCAGGTTATAGCAGTTCGGCAATTGTGCAGCTATAAAGAAACCCTTTTTGACTGCATCCACTCATGCTACAGATGAGCTGTTGAAAATACTGTCTTCTCCGCCACAGTGAGGCTGAAACGGAAGGTGGAGGTGCAGAAAACTCCCAAATATAGTGAAATTTCTCAGATTGTGAACTAAAGGCCCAGTAGGATCATACTAGTGTTCTCACTGAAATGGGTTTTTCAAATTCAACAAAATTCTTGGAGATCCCGAAGCCCATTTGACTGGGTGAAGGAGTCCTTGATCGGAGTGGGAATGTCATTTATCTGTGATGCTTAAAAAAAAAAAAAAAAT